ATAATCGCTGACCTTTTAATTCTTCTCTGGAGAATCGCTGACACTTCAATTCTTCTGTGTGAGAATTACTGACTCTCTAGCTCTTCTGTGGAGAATTACTAACCCTTCAGCACTTCTATGGAGAATCGTTGATCCCCCTTAACTCGGCTGTGAAGAATCTCTGACCTTTAATTTTTCTGTGGAGAATCACCGTCCTTTCAACTCTTCTGTGGAGATTCGATGACTCTCTAGCACTCCTGTGGAGAATCACTGACCCTCTAGCTCCTCTCTGAAGAATTACTGGCCCTTCAACTCTTCTGTGGAGAATCGTTGATCCCTCAGCACTTCTTTGGGGAATCGCTGACCCTTAAACTTTTCTATGGAAACTCGCTGAGCCATCAGCTCATCAATGGGGAATCCCTGAATCTTTAACTCTTCGATGGATAATTTCTGACTCCATAACTCTTCGTTGGAGAATCTTTGAGGCTTCAGATTTTTTATGGAGAATCATTGGCCCTCGAACTCTTCTGTGTATAATCTCTGACTCTTCAACTCTTCAGTGGATAACCATGTATTTCTAACTCTTCTGGGGGGAAGGGTCAGCAACCTTTAACTCTTCTATCGCTGTCCCTTTTGTCCATCTATGGAGGCTTTTCGGACCTCAAATTCGCTTCTGCAGGCTCCATGGACCTTCAAGATCCACATTAATTTGGGAGAATTAAAAAGCTACTGCCTCTCTGATCCAAATGCCCATATTTTTTTCTGAAGTCAACACCAAAATTAAAAATGTACCCCACGCCGTGGCGTAATGTAGGCTATGATTACACAATGTTGTTTGTCTTTTGTTTCTATTCTCTGGCCATACATGGAGCACGAATCCAAAAAAAAAAAAAATGAAAAAAAAAAAAAATAGTCAAAGTAACTCTTTGCCACCAGTATTGAAATGCACGTTTGTACGTGAAGAAAAAATCAATTCGGAAAAAAATATATAATAGTCAATGCGCATGCGCTTGTAACTTTGGTAAAACAACAACAACCAGCCAGCCAGGCAGCCAGCGAATATCGGTGATCGCTGTTAATCGAATTTGTACATTTCCCATGAAACAATTGTTATTCGCAGCAGCAATAAATCCATAAATTCACCAAAGACAGGGGGACAGACAGACAGTCGTATATTCAGGATGGATGGGGGGAGGGGGGGTTAGGAGGAGGGTAAAGTCGCAACAAATGGTGAAAAAGTGATGAAAAGCCATGCTCACTTCTTCAATCGTCGTTATTGTTCGAATGACACCGCATAAACTGCAGAATAATGCACGGAATCTCGAACACTCACACACACACACACACACTCGACAAAATTCAAAAACCAAAAGTGAACAAATTGCCAAACAAAGACCCAGAAATGCGAACAGCACCAAGTCAAGTCAGAAATTGTACCACCGAGTGTCAAATTGACACCCCAGCCATGCAAGGCACCAGCCAACAACGAACCTCTTGGAAGCTACTCTACATCGGAACATACTCCGATACATGTCTGACGACACAACAACAAACCATGCTTGATACAGATTCGTGACAAATTTACACAAAATTTCAAACTCACGTAATCGCGTTAACCCTCCACACACCAAAAACAAAAAAAAAAAAAAAAAAAAACAAAAATTAAATCCGAATCTCGAACAAAAAAACTGAAACAAAAGAAACAGCCAATTTTCTTCTATTCACACTTCGAGCACAGAGAGAGATTACAATTGAAATTTCATGGGCAACAAACACGTACCAATTGGTGTGCGTGTGTGTGTGTGTGTGTGTTATGTTGCAACAGAGACCGACACATGATCGATCATCCGAAATTTGGTCAACATGGGTTTCGGAATTCACTTTCACTCTCGAGAATAAATTGGGCTTATTGGCCGCCCCAGCAATTAAAAAAGTGGTCCTTCTATCTGAAGCCAACTGGCGAAAGGGAATAAAAAAATAAATTTAAAATGACCCTTCAACTCTTCTGTGGAGATTCGCTGACCCTTCACCTCTTCTATGGAGAATCGCTGACCCTTTAGCTTTTCAATGGAGAATATCTGATCGTCTAGCTCTTCTTTAGAAAATCCCTGAACCTTGAACTTTTCTGACCCTCTAACACTTCTGTGGAGAATCGTTGTTTTTTCAAATCTACTGTGGAGAATCACTGACGCTTCAACTCTTCTGTGGGGAATCGCAGATTCTTTACCTCTTCTAAGGAGAATCACTGACCATTTAGATCTTCTGTGGAGAATCGCTGACCCTTCAACTTTTCTGTAAAGAATCAGTGAACCTTGAACTTTTCTGTGGAGAATTGCTGAACCTATATTGTCTCTGAACCTCTTACTATTTTTTGGGAAATCGCTAAACCTTCAGCTCTTCTGTGAAGAATCGCTGACCCTCAACTACTCCGTGAGGAATCGCTGACCATTTCGATCTTCTGTGGGGAAACGCTGACGCTCTAACTCTTCTGTGGAAAATCGCTGACTCTTATACTCTTCTGAGGAGAATTTCTGACCGCTCAACTCATTCATGGAGAACCTCCCACCTTTCACCTCTTTTATGGACAATCAATGACACTTCAGCTTTTCTATGGAAATTCGCTGAACTCTCAACTCTTATGTTAAGAATCGCTGACCCTTCAACTCATCCATGGAGAATCGCCGACTTTTCAACTCTTCTGTGAAGAATCACTGACACTCTAACTCTTCTGTGAAGAATATCTGACCCCTCAATCTTTCTGTGAATATTCGCTGACACTTGAACTCTTCTGAATCTCCGACCCTCTACCTTTTCCGTGGACAATCGTTGATCCTACAAATTTTCTATGAAGAATAGCTGACCCTTCAACTTTTCTGTGGAGAATCAGTGACCCCTTAACTCTTCTGTAAAGAATCGTTTACCTTTAAACTCTTCCGTGAAGAATCACTGACCCTTTAGCTCTTCTGTGAACAATCGTTGACCTTTCAAATCTTCTGTTGAGAAACGCTGACACTTCAGTTTTTCTCTGAATCTCTGACCATTTAACTCTCCTGTAAAGAATCGCTAGCCTTTTAACTTTTCTGTGAAGCATCGCTGACCCTTCAACTCTTCTGTGGAGGATCGCTGACCAATCAACCTTTCTGTGGATAATCGCTGAACCTCCAACTGTCTCTGGCCCTCTACCTCTTTTGTGGTCAATCGTTGACCTTTCAACTCTTTTGTATAGAATCACTGACCCTTCAACCCTTTTGTGAAGAATCGCTGACCCTCTAACTCTTCTATGGACAATAGCTGACCCTTCAACTCTTCTTTGGAGAATCGCTGACCTTCTAACTCTGTGGATAATCGCTGACACTTAAACTCTTCTGTGTGGAATCTCTGACCATCTACCTCTTCGTGGATAATCGCTGACCCTTCAACTGTTTGACACTTCAACATCCCTATAAAATCGCTGACCTTTCAACTCTTCTGTAAAAAATAGCTTGACCCTTCAACACTACTGTGGAGAATCTCTGGCCCCTCTACCTTTTCTATTGACAAACGCTAATCCTTTAGCTCTTCAGTGGGGAATCTCTGGAATCTCTACCTCTTCCATGGACAATCAGTGACCCTCTAACTCTTCTGTAAAGAATCGCAGACCTTTCAACTCTTCTGTGAAGAATGGCTGACTCTTCAACTCTTCTTTGGGGAACCTTTGACCCTTCAGCTTTTCTATGGAGAATCGCTGACCCTTCAAATCATCCACGGAGAATAACTGACGCTCTAACTCTCCTCTGTGGGGAATATCTGACCTCTTAGCTCTTCCTTGGAAAATCGCTAACCCCCAACTTTATTTTGGAGAATTGGCAAACCTTTAACACTTTTTTGTAGAATAGCTGACCCTTAATCTATTCCATGGAGACTCGCTAAGCAGTTTATTTAATTATTTTTTTTTATCTATCAGTGGTTCGATACAATTTTTTTAAAGAACATTCAAATCGTTTATTGGGGCATTTTTCGAAGTACCTTTTTGGTACCTCCCCCACAGAGGGGTTAACATTTTAAATAACAGTGAAGCTCATACAACGCGAAATGAGCATCCGATTCCTTCCATAATCAGCACATCTCAATACTTTTATGAACTTAATATCTGTTGTGAAGAGGGTAGCTATCGGTCCACTACTTCTGGTACCTCCCCCACAAAGGAGTCAAAATTTTTAATAAGGATATCGTTCATAAAAAGCGGAATAAGTATTCGGTAGTCTTCAAATTTCACACCTCCCAATATTTCTATTAGCGCAGGATCTGCCGGAAAGATGGTACCTCCCCCACAAAGGGGTCAACATTTTGAATAGCCTTCATAAAATGCGAAATGAGCATCCGATTCCTTTGAATCTTTTGAAAAAGCGGTGCGCTCATAGAGTGCGTAACAAGCATCGGATTTTCTTCGTCGGATTCTTTTAAAATTTCTTAAAATAATTCTATCAAAAAAAGATCAGGTCTGAAAGTGGGATATATCGGTCCACACCTACTGGTACCTCCCCAACAAAGGGTTCAAAATTTTGAATAACCAAAATGCTCTTAAATGCGAAATAAGCACCCGATTCTCTTCAAATTTTACATATCCCAATTGTTTTACTAACACAAATCTGGTACCTACTCCACAAAGGGTCAAAATTTCTTCGTCGGATTCTTTTAAAATTTCTTAAAATAATTCTATCAAAAAAAATTAGGTATGAAAGTGGGATATATCGGTCCACACCTACTGGTACCTCCCCAACAAATATCAAAATTTCGAACAATTATAACTCCCATTAAATGCGAAATAAGCACCCGATTTTCTTTAAATTACACATATTCTAATATTTTTATTAACACAGGATCTGATGAGAAGAAGGAATATATCGGTCCGTTCCTTCCGATACGCATTTTTGATTTTTGAGTGAGGACAACAGGTCAGCGGTTCATACCAATTTCATTTCACATTTCGCCCTCCACTTCCGAAAAATTCCCAAAAAAAAAATATATAAATTTTTACTTACATTTTGCCAATCCTCTGGCTCCTCTTTGCGGATCTCCTTTATCTTTTTGACCTCCTCGGCTTTTTTCAGTTGCTCTTGTGCTGTTTGATATAGATTGCAAGGTTTGATTTGTACAAATTGCATTGGATTATAGGGTGGCGGTGGTGGTGTGGGCCTGGTGACACGGGCCTTGGCCACATAGGCTGTGGGATCGGGAGAAGTAATGGACTGCAAGAAAAGAGAGAGAAAAAACAACAATTAATAATTTATATTTTGGAAAAAATCGGAATTAAAAAAGATACAAAGATTTTCTGTGGAAATCTACCCATTGTGGTGTTGTTGGCACCTGTCTGGCCATTCTCCTTGGAACCCGGGGGAGTGCAGGAGGGGTATTGTCGTTTTATGTTTCTTTTTTTTTGTTTTGCTGAGTAAATCGATACGTTCGTGTTACAATGGTTCGTGTTGAAATGTTAAATTTACAAAAATTCATTGAATACTGGCAGCTCTGAGCGCTGCCTGCCACTAGTAGTCTGGGTGTCCGGACATTGCCAACCGGTAGTTCTCAAAGACCTGGCAGGAGAAGAGATTTTCGTTTTTTTTCTGGCAAAAGAACACTTATGAGCAACACTTCTGAGCAAACATTAACCCTTAAAAAGCTGGCACAAAGCTCAGAGCGTTTGTAGGCAAACGTGACCGACCGCAAACCTAATCAACAGCAGCAACAAAAAGCGAAAACATTCACAAGAGGATACCGAGAAAAATATGGAAATAGGAGATGACAAACAAAACAAAAGCCAACGCAAAAAATCATAATGCAGCCTATGCAGGTCTGCCTAAGGCGAAAGCCTCTTCTTGCTTCATTGGAACTCATTTATGCCCGCCAAGACCAGAGGAAAAAAGTGCAAGTGGAATATGACATTACTTGGAGGCTTTTTGCAGGAACGCTGGACGAGGTGAGGTGCCGAAGGGAGGGAATATTTTCAAGGCCTTTCAATTCTCATGGATTTTAGGAAAATATTTTTCAGTGCCAATCAGAGCTCGTGGATTTTTGAAAATATTTTTCAAGACCTCGAGAATCTTTTAAAAATTAAAAAAAAATATATAAAAAAAAATTTAAATCAAAGCTCGGAAATTTTTTTTAAATATTTTCAGGGATTTTTTAAATATATTTTTCAAGACCTATTAAAGCTCCTGGATTTTTTAAAAATATATTCAAGGCATATCAAAGCTGTTGGATTTTTTAAAAATATTTTCCGAGACCTATCGATGCTCGTGGATTTAAAAATATTTTCCGGGACCTATTAATGCTCGTGGATCTTTTTTAAAATATTCTTAACGCCTATCAAAATCGTGGATTTTTTAAAAAATACTTTTCAAGGCTATCAATGCTCGAGGAATTTTTAAAAATATTTTTCAAGGCCTAATAAAATTCAGGATTTTTTTTTTAAATAATTGTCAAGGCCTATCGGAGCTCGTGGATTTTTAAAAATATATTTTTCAAGCCCTATCAATGTTCGTGGATTTTTTAAAAATATTTTTCAAACCCTATCAATGCTTGTAGATTTTTAAAAATATTTGCAAAGCCCTATCAATGCTCGTGGATTTTTTAAAAATATTTTTCAAACCCTATCAATGCTCGTAGATTTTTAAAAATATTTTTGAAGCCCTATCAATGCTCGTGGATTTTTTTTTAATATTTTCTAGGGTCTATTAATGAGCGTGGATTTTTTAAAAATATTTCCTAGGGTCTATTAATGAGCGTGGATTTCTCAAAAAATATTTTTCAAGGCCTATCGGAGCTTGCGGATTTTTTTAAAATATTTTTCAAGGCCTATCAAAAGTAGTGGATTTTTTAAAAATATTTTTCGAGGCTTATCAATGCTCGCCGATTTTTTTAAAAATATTTTTCAAAACCTATCGAAGCTTGCGGATTTTTTAAAAATAATTTTCTAGGCCTATCGAAGCTTGCGGATTTTTTAAAAATAATTTTCTAGGCCTATCGAAGCTTGCGGATTTTTTAAAAATATTTTTCAACGCCTATCAAAAGTAGTGGATTTTTTAAAAATATTTTTCGAGGCTTATCAATGCTCGCCGATTTTCAAGGCCTATCGAAGCCTGCGGAATTTAAAAAAAAAAATTTTCAAGGCCTATCTATGCTCGTGGATTTTTTTAAAAATATTTTCAAGGCATAATAATGCTTGTGGATTTTTTAAAAGTATTTTTCAAGGCCAATCAAAACTCGTGGATTTTTTGAAAATATTTTTCAAGACCTCGTGGTCTTTTAAAAAATATTTTTCAAGACCTCGTGGACTTTTTAAAAATATTTTTCAAGTCCTCGTGGATTTTTTAAAAATATATTTCAAGACCTCGTGGACCTTTTAAAAATATTTTTCAAGACCCTGAATTTAAGCTTCTGGATTTTCGAGGACTCGTCGATTTTATAAAAATATTTTCTAGGACATATCAAAACTCGTGATTTTTTTAAATATTTTTCAAGGTCTTTCAAAGCTCGTGGATTTTTTTTGAAAATAATTGTCATGGCCTATCGGAGCTCGTGGATTTTTAAAAAATATTTTTCAAGGCCTATCAGTGCTCGTGGATTTTTAAAAAATATTTTTCAAGGCCTATCAGTTCTCGTGGATTTTTAAAAAATATTTTTCAAGGCCTATCAGTTCTCGTGGATTTTTAAAAAATATTTTCTAAGACCTATTAAAAGTCCATCAAAACTCGTGGATTTTTTAAAATATTTTTCGAGGAATATCAAAGCTCGTGGATTTTTTTAAAAATAATTTTCGAGGCCTATCAATGCTCGTAGATTTTTCTAAAAATAATTTCAAGGGCTATCGAAGCTTACGGATTTTTTAAAAATAATTTTCAAGGCCTATCGGAGCTCGTGGATTATTTAAAAATAATTTTCAAAGCCTATCAGTGCTCGTGGATTTTTAAAGATAGTTTTCAAAGCCTACCCAAGCTCAGGATTTTTTTTTAAAAAATTTTGAGGGCTCGTGGATTTTTAAAAGTATTTTTCAAGACTTAACAAAATTCGTGGGGTTTTTAAAAGTATTTTTCGAGGCCCATCAAATTTCGTGCATTTCGTAAAAATAGATTTCAAGACCTATCAAAACCCGTTCAAGGCCTATCAAAACCCGAGAATTCTTAAAAATATGATATGAATATTAAAACAAGTAGCTTTTAAAAATATCTTTCAAGACCTATCAAAACTCGTAGATTTTTTAAAAATATTCTCTATTCCTCTCAAAGCTCGTGGAATTTTTTAAAAATATTTTTCAAGACATTTCAATGCTCATGGATTTTTTAAAAATATTTTTCAAGGCATATCAATGCTCGTGGAACTTTTTAAAAATATTTTCAAAGCCTATCAAAGCTCGTGGAATTTTTTAAAAATATTTCAAGGCCTCTCAAAGCTCGTGGAATATTTTAAAAATATTTTCAAGGCCAATCAAAGCTCTTTGATTTCTTAAAAAATATTGTTCAAGGCCTAACAAAGCTCGTGGATTTTTTCTCAAATATTTTTCAAGGCCTGACAAAGCTCGTGGATTTTTTTTTAATACTTTCAAAGGCATATCACAACTCGTGGATTTCTTAAAAATATTTTCAAGGAATATAAAAGCTCGTGGAATTTTTTTAAAAATACCAATGATCTTGGATTTTTTAAAACATTTTTTTCTATAACCATCCTAGCTTATGGCTGCCTCAATTATCCCACCTCCCTCGTACCCTGATTATTTCTTCGTTCTGCATCGCAATGACTTGGTAATGTTGACGGAAATAAGGATTGTTGACAATTTATTTTTTATTGTTGTTGACAATGGTGTGCGCGTCGTCTCTATAGGCCGCTTTTATTGCCGTTGTTGGTGCTTTTGTTTCATTTTCTCAAATGCTTAAGTCGAGGAAGAAGAAGAAGCAGCAAAATGTATGGAAATAATAATTGCAATATTTCAGAAAAAGGCGCAAGAAAAAATATTAACCAAAGTCAGTTAAAATTGTGAAGGTAAAACCACCATGGTCGGTTGGAGGTTTAGAATACTGGGGGAGGGGGGTTTGGAACCAAGTGGGTGATGGTATGGGAGGAAATTTAAATTTCCATTCAAGAGACATGCCTAAGCTTTAACAGTGTTTGGTCTTTTTTCTTCTTCTTCCGAGCAATGTTGATGGTTTGATGGACTGTGTGTTCTCTTCTCCTCCCGTCCTGCCTTGGGTGCCTTAGAATGCCTTGGGCTTTGTCGTCATCATCGTCAGCTTTATCTTTGAGAAACCTCTTAAGGGTCTGTTTGGACGACTCGCAGGCACCATGCTTATTATTGCATTGAGGTGCATAACCCAAACAAAAATACAGGGGAGGGGAAAGCAGAAGGAGGAGGAGGAGTGCAATGTTGTTGCAGACAGTTTTTTTTCAGTTGGTGAATGACTGAGATTTGTTTTGATTTTCGCCTTTTCAAAATGTTGCCATATTTTGTTATGGGATTTTCATGGTTTTTTGTTTTCATTTGATTTTCAGCTATCATCGGTGATAAGGAAAATGCGAAGAAAAAAAAAAAAAAACAAAATTTATGTGGCATTTTTTGACAACAACAAAAATGATGGCGGGGTGCCATGGGCAATTATCAGCTTAGCTTATGGTGTCAGTGGATTAGCACACCAGCTGCTGGAAAATACCCAATGGAAATGCCATTCCTCAACGGGAACCATAAAAAACGACGTGCCGTTGAAAAATGAAAAGAAAAGTGAAAATCTCCAAGTAAAAATTTTTTAAAAAAATACTTCTCCAAAGACGTTCCTGGCTGGTACATTTTTTTTAATTATTTTGCAAATCCACTCGCAACTAGTTCATAATAAAAAAATAGTTTGCAAGGTCTAAAAGAGCTCGCGGATTTTTTGAAAATATTCTCCATGGTCTATAAAAGCTTGAGGATTTTTAAAATTATTTTCCAGGATCTAGAAGAACTTGAGGAATATTTAAAATCGTGATTTTTTTTTTAAATATTTCTCAAAGTTTTAAATAGCTTGTGTATTTTTTAAAAATATTTCCAGGATCGTGGATTTTTTTAAAAATATTTTCCAGGTCCTATTGGAGCTGGTGGATTTCCTAAAAATATTTGCCAGGGTCTATAAGAACTCGCGGATTTTTTTTAAAAATACTTTTCAAAGTCTCGAAAAGCTCATGCATTTTTTTAAAAATATTTTCCAGGATCTATGAGAGCTTGTGG